GGGGGTTGGATGGGGGGGGCCACGCCTGGCTGTTTAGGGAGGCACAGCCTCCCCTAACTGGCCCTCCATACGATTTCTGAAACCCGATGCGGCCCTCAGGCCAAAAAGTTTGCCCACCCCTGATTTAAAAGATAGGTTACATACCCAGTTAGTAGTTCTGCAATTTCATATTTGAGTTCCTTCAGAACTCTGGAGCGAATACCATCTGGTCCTGGTGGCTTATTACTGTTTAATTTATCTATTTGTTCCAAAACCTCCTTTACTGATACCTCAATCTGGGATAGTACCTCAGATTTATCATCCAAAAAGAATGACTCAGATGTGGTAATCTCCCTCACATCCTCTACAATGAAGACCAATGCAAAGAATTCACTTAGCTTCTCTGCAACAACCTTGTCTTCCTTGAGCGATCCTTTAGCACCTTGATCATCCACTGTCCTCACTGATTGGCAGGCTTCCTGCTTCTGATGTACTTAAATGTTTTTGCTGTTAGTTTGTGTATCTTTTGCTAATTGCTCTTCAAATTCTTTTTTTGCCCGCCTAAATATACTTTTACACTTGACTTGCCAGAGTTTATGTTCCTTTCCTTTTTTCTCATTAGTTTAATATTAAAAACAGTTCAAAACTGATTGGGGGATTTATGCAATGCTTTTGACTATGAAAAGCAGTTCCTAGTGGAAGGACAAGGGAAAGTTAAAAACACCTTTTCTTTGATATTCTGAATATATTTGTTAACTTTAAAAAAAACAACAACAACAAAAACCAACTCCTCCTTGGACTTAGTTCCTTTCTACATCCTGTCTGCCACAAGCCTGGCTGGCCTTTCAGCTGCAGCTTGTGGCTAAACCACCACCGTCTGTTGAAAATATCTAATTATGAGACTAATATAGCTACCACCCTCTTACCACCGCCCCGCACCAAAATGCAAAGAAAGAAATGAACATGGCTGCTGAGACACAAGCTGCAGCAGAAAGGGTAGCTGGGCTCATGGGAGATAGGCAGAGAGGGGCAGCTTACAGTTACCATTTTTACCCCTTCCTTCCCTCCTTTCCTCTGGAAGGTACAGGCCAAACTGCAGGAAAGTAATTCAAATCCTTCAATTCCCATCCCCCCTCAACCTCACCTTCAGTCACATCTAATCAGCTATTCCCTCCACATCTTTGCCCCCTAAATAAATAAATTCTAGCTCAATTAATCTCTCCACACCAATTTCCTCCTCTAAATTTATTCTCCCACCAAGCCAGTTAATGCATCTCCTCTCAAAAATCAACTCTCCTCTTCTCCTAAACAAAATTAATGCTGTCTTTCAAATTACACTGCATGCATTATCTGCCCCTCTAAAAATCAATAAAATCATCCCTGTTTTCACCTCTTTAAAATAATCAGTCCCCATCTCTTTTTGTGAGGCCCCTAATGCTACTGCCCCTTTTCTGGTGTTCTCTTCTGATTGCCAACAGCCTTTAGCCTCCTAGCTCCTTCAGTACCTAAGCTAGCGCAAGATAAAAGCATAGCCTCTTTCCTTCTACAACAGCACCAAGGCACCCTTTATTCCCTCACTCCTCATCCCTCTTAAAAGAGGAGCAGCTCAGAGGCTGTTTTGCTTCTTATTCCCCCTTTCTTCCTGTGGAAACAGCAGAAGCTCCAGCCATTGCACTTTTCATTCTCATTTGCTCTCCTGAAACAAAATACAGCTATTGACACCTGAGTCACTTTCCCTTCCACTCCCATTAAAAGTGCAGTAGACACCTGGACTGATCCTACCCTTGCATTTTCCCTGCCAGGTATTAACTGAGCAGGACATCCAGCCAGATTTCGGGAGAGGACATGTTCCCCTCATGCCTCTCAGTGGTCAGTTATATGAAATCATTAATTAGGCTCTGTCATGTGTATGGATTTCCTATTTTTATTACTCTGCTTAAATACACAACTTCATATATCACTGCTTATGACATAACACAAAGATGTCATGATGAGCACAAGAATTCTAGATAAACTGAACAATGTGCTCATGTTAAAGCTGCTATTAAAATCTTCAACGATTGCATTTCCTGACTAACTTCAACTGTGCAACCCTAACGCAGTTATCTGTATTTAACAGCATTTTTAAAACTGTAACATTTATAGTATCTTTTTAAAGTAGGAAGAATTATTCATTAAGCCTTCTGGTTCTAGTCCTGTGGAGAGTAATAGCACTCAATTTCAGGAAATATCTTTTCAAGAGTGACAAAGAATTAACATTTTCTGTGATGCTCATAAGATGACTCTTCAAACTTCCATACTCAGGCCTCAATTTCCTAATGCTAATCATTGTTGGCAAATACCTCAAGGGTTACAAGCAAAAGCACGACTATTATTTCTAGCACCTTTCTGCTAATTTCTTTTTCATGGTTTTAATATAAAAATTCCAAATGGAAGACACTTTTCACCTTTACCCAGCAACATCCACATATCCCACAAATGAGCAACTTTTAGCACTTACTTGACTGTACCACAGCTTGGGTCTGTGCAGAAGTGCCCGATGCTATGTTAGTCAGTGCCCACGCAGCTTCAAATTGTAATGAGGGACTAGTTTAAAAAAAAAAAAAATTAAGTCAAGCAGTAATTTGAAGTGTGCTCATTAGGCTATTATATGGTTGCCCTCTACAGCTATTAGCTGTGTCTATATATAGAAATTGCAGAATTTAATACTGTATTGTGTAGTTTAAAAAAAAAAAGACTAGACATTTCAGAAGAATTGAGAAGGGAATGGGAAAAAAAATTATACTTGCCAAAGCCTCATCTACTACTCATCACCACTGAAAACAAGCCAATTGATTCTGTCCCTCCCACAACTAAGGCACCTCCCCATATTTGACAGATCCACACACTGCGGAGCCTGCCCCACACACAGCTGATACAAATACCCCTTCCCCTAAGCTTTGGGAGGGAGGAGAGACCAGCACTGGGGGATCTTTGTCCCCCTCTGAGGCCTGGGGGGAAGGTAACATCATTGGGGGATCTTCACTGAGTGGGGAGTGGAGGGGCAGGAGCTGCTACTCCACAGCCTGCTCTGACTTTGCATGCTCTAACCCCATGCATTCCAGTGAAGTGGAAGGGAGCACTAGTTGCTCCACATGCTATGGGACCAGTTGTTAATCACATGAAGCAGCTCTGATTGGCCTGTGGAGCTGACAGGGGTCGGACAAGAGAGTGACAAGCGTGCGGAAGTATGGGCCTGTACTTGCCATTTCCAAAACCTGCAAACATTTGTCTTACATATCTTTAAGATCTGCAACACTCCTCCCCACCACACATGCTATACTTATTGTATTGACGACCATATTTCTAGCCAGGGATTCCATCCACTGCCATGTCACTCCTTAATTAGTTGGAAAAGTCCATTATCTTTCCCCAAGGGATGAGTGTGCTGCCTCTGCAAAGGGCCCAGAGAGCAAATACCAGAAATATAACCAAACTTCTTCCAATTCCCCCTGCCCTTGTTGAAATCACTACAGAAATTCAGTCCTATGTTGTTGGTTTTTTGGAGGGGGGGGGATTGGTTCAAAAACAGGAGTTTGTACACAGTTAAAGCAAATACTGACAATACAGGGGAGAAAATAACTGTCATGTAACATCTTAAATTATCATACAGACCATTTCAGGTTTTAACCTGGCAACTGAAGTCTTTTAGGGCTGGTCAGCTCAATGTGTTTGTCCTGTAGAGTGGGGTGAGGAAACAGAAGCAGGCTGTTCTCAGCAGAACACCCATTATGGAATGCCCATAATCTCTTTGTGCAACAGAGTGAATGTTTGAAAGCAAGATGCAAGGGTCCTTGGTTTTGCCACATTTTCAGTGGGGATTGTGGGGTTTGGTCTGTTTTTTTCTATAAGTGGTAGAGGAAACAGTTGCATTGGCTAACATGGTGTTGGTAATTTCACGGTAAAATATCGTAAGTATCTAGAACAGCGGTTCTCAAACTGGGGTCCATAGACCCCTGAGGGTACTCCAGGGGGTTTGTGAGTCCTGTCCGGCTCCAAGGGGTCCGTGAGTCATGTCCAGGGCCACCGGCTCCACTGATCAACTCCTCACCCTCCCTCCCAGTGTCTTCTGCACACCACGGAATAGCTGTTCAGCGGCGTACAGGAGGCGCTGGGAGGGCGGTGGGAGGAGCGGGGATGGGGAGCGCTCGGGGAAGGGCAGAAAGAATTGGGGAAGAGGGGTGAGGGCAGGGGTGAGGCCTTGGGAAAAGGGGTGGAGTGGGGGCAGGGCCTGAGCAGGGGTTGAGCACCCCTGTGGAAAATTAAAAGCCGGCTTGGGGGGCTATGAAAATTTTTAAATCAAAATGGGGGTCCTTGGGTTGCTAAAGTTTGAGAACCACTGATCTAGAAGGTATTAGATATATATTATATTCATTTTTGACATTTGCATATTTCTTATTTTCAAAAAGAAGACATCTGAAAGGAAGAAAAAAACATAGCACAGTTTCAACTTTGACTTATTTTTAGAAATAACCATCTCTAAATGGACTACTTTGGATGGCCTAAGATAAACAGCGCATTTATGCTCACTAAATTACAGAATAACTGGACCAAACAGACGGACTGGTCATATAAACACAGTCCTGGCAACTATGTGGGTAAGAAGAGTCCAAAATATCAAGACTGAAGGAAAAAGAGGCTGACCCAAGACATGGTGAGATGGAAGACCGTTAGCATGTGGTGTGTTAGAGGATATGGCACTGAAGAGAGAAAAGAGAGAGAGAAAAAGAAAAAAAAAAGAAAAACACGAACTCCTACAAGAGACCCTATTTGATAAGATTAATGAAAGGACAAAGTTCAGAACAAATTTGTCACAGGAGCATTGTAATGCAAAAGCATCACAGAACTGGTCTGTCCCATATCACTGATTGCCAGTAAAATGCCATCACACTTCCACCAACAAGAGCAGGGGAATATAGCCTGTTAAAGAAGCTCTGTGGATCAGTTAGGAATATGAGTGTATATAGAGTATTTATTTTCCCTGAGACCATGCATGTTGCATCTGACATGTGCCTAGCCAAATACACAGTAGTAGTTTGGTAAAGAGTTGTGTGTAGACTGTGGTTAAAGGGAGTGATGGAGGGCTAGCATTTATACAAGGGGGCAGAATTAAGGTTGCAGTGAACGGTATGGTAGTTGTGATAATCGTAAGATGTGTGCGTGTGGTTGGAGGAGTACAGGGTATGTATTATTAGATGACTTAACTTTTCATTTCCTTGCTTTCACTGATTTGTTTCAGGTATGTTGCACAGGTAGCAACCCTAACTGCTTCTTGGAGCTTTTTGTGAAATAGCTTCCTAGATATGTTCATTCTTAATTCGAGGTGGTGTAGGAAAGGAATGGGTATTGTGGACACAAAAAGGTTAAAAGAGCATCTGCTAACAGACAATAGCTGTGCATAATCGCTTCTGTTGTACGAGAAAGTGACAGTAAATCATGGCTTCTAGTGGAGGTTTTACATGCACCCAACCTCCATCAATCAGGCTTCTGTTCACTCAGTTCCCCATTCTCCCCATCAGTCAGGTCTGTATGTACAGTGCATAAACTTTCAATTATAACATGAAGAGCAGCTAAAAATGACCCTAACTACAACTTTAAGTTTTTAACTACCTACTGCATCAGATCTATATCCCTACTCAAATTTTGTAGACAATATTTTAAAAGATATGGATCACAATAAAAGAACTGCCCAGGAAAAATTTCATCCAGATCCCAATTTCAAAGACTCCCTATACAAATTTACAAAGAAGCCATAAAAAACTACACAGAAAATGGACAAAAATCAACTGTGTGAAATGTCACACCAGTTGGACATCTACTTTTGCAGAAAAATGGGCGCTTATAGCCCATTTTATAATGCAACCCTAATTATGAAATTGTTACCAGGCATTTCCATAATAGCTGGTTTGCTGAGCAAGTCACAAGCAGGGCCTTGTGTATTCTATGATTCTGCAGCTGCAGAATGGCATCCAAAATCTGTTTGCATTTAAAAATGTTTCTAATTTATGGTTGCAGAAGTAACCTTGAAAACTCAAAGTGAGTGTAAACAAATACAGTGATGCCTGCCTGAGAGTGAAGAGTGTCTGAAACGATAGCTGAGGGTATATGAACTGCCCCAACTCCCCAATCAGAGCCATGGACTCCATGATTCTGTGATTGTGCAATCTGGCATTTTTCTAAGGTGTTCCAAGGAATTCACCATATCCCTCTGAACTCTGCCCTGCTGGGACTTGCCTGCAGCTGTCTTTTGTTTTCCAGCTTTCCCTTCAAAGAGAAGTTAGATAGCAGCACAATGCTCCCTGTACTGTTCAGTGGAGCCAGAGCTGAAGTCCACCTTGCAGAAAGAGCGAAGGGAGCCAGAAGTGTAGGCTGCTGAAACAGGCAGCCTGGGGAAGAGTGCAGCAACCAAGATCAATGATGCTGTGGTATTTGGTCCCACTGTGCCCAGTATACATGGCCATGGTCATAAGTTTGCATCTGAAATAGTGCTGCCTTTTAATCATAAAACTTAAGGAAAGGGGGAAAAGAAAAAAAATGTTTACTTACTTATCATCCCTTTCTAGACAGTTGACCAGAATTGGTAAAATTCCAGATTTTATTAAGTCATCAATAGGTGGATTTCTGTCACTGGATAACAGTTTTCTGTAAAATTAAGTAAGACAGATGAGTAAATAACATCATCAAGGAAAATTTCTGTAGCAACTGTGTGCATGTTGCTGGGTTTTTTTACCTTGCAGCTTGGACAGCACTCAACTGGATCACAGGGTTATCACTTGTGGCATTCTGCAATACAAAAATAAACAAATTCAGAAATCCATCAAATGAGCCTTAAATTCTGAATTCAAGAAACTGAAGATATTAAGTTTAACATACCTGCAATATAGCTTCTAGTGTTACATTTTGCTTGAAAAGAAAAAGAGATCATTTAGCAACAAATTACTAAAATTACATTTAATGCTGAAACATTCTAGACTAAACATTTGAGCAATGGTGAGCAGTGTCACTCCACTACTTCGTTGGAGTTGTAACTGCTCGGATTTGCCTTTTCTGTCCATCTACAGGCATTTTAAAAATGAACATAAGACTCAAACTCAAGTGAATAACAGAACAAAAGTCTTCTAGCCACTACCAAAGAAACTAAGTTTTAGAAGCAGATTCAGAATCAAGCAACTTACTGCTTTAAAGTCAGCATCGACATCTGAGTCTTCTAAACTTTCTTCTTGAGGGACATTTCTTTTTTTCAAAAGATGTTCATCTCTTTTGTTCTAAAGATATTAAAGACACTTTAATGCTTATCAATACTGACTAATCAAACAGAGGCACTTAAAAATAATTTACATAAGATTGTTTACATAAAGAGATTTGGAACTCCAGACTGATTTGACAGTAGGGCAGCTGTAAGTCACTCATTTTGTCTTAAGCTAAAATGGATTTGAATCTATATATAAGCATGTATCTTGTGAACCATGACAAAATACTACAATCCGTTGCATAAAATAGATAGTTAACACCTTTCAGTTAAAAAGTGTCAATATTTTACATGGAGTTTATAGCACACATAGCTCTGCCTCAACAGTCACTTAAATTAGAAATGAATAATGATGTCCTAGTCAAATAAGACTAAAATTAGTTTGTAAATAAGACTATTACAAGCTGCTCAGATATCCTGATTACATCTATTTTAATCCTAGGTGTAAACAAACATGCTCCAACACACTGGCACTGATAGACCCTGGTCACTGCAGCATTAACAACAGTTTCTACTTATAACACAGTACCCTGCAACTTAGTGCTTTGTTTAGTAACTACTCAGATGAGCTTCTCTGAATAAGCTGCATTTTCAATGTTAAAGCATCCACAAAATATTCACAGTCTGCTTAATCAGCTTGCTTACTACCTTTTATATTCTAAGTTTTCTACCTTTATAAGAGGAAAAAAATCAAATAAAGGTTTCGACTATGCCAAACAAACATGTTTTATTTGTAGTTTTGAGATTTTTATTCCAAGTTTGTTTATTCACCAGAAAAAAATTCTCTTCCACAGAAAAAACTCTCTCTTCCACATTTTAGACATGACACCACCGACTTCCTGAGGAAACTACAATGCATTGATGTTCTTCCTGAAAACACCATCCTGGCCACCATGGATGTAGAAGCACTTTACCAATATTCCACATGAGGATGGACTACAAGCTGTCAGGAACAGTATCCCTGATGAGGCCACAGCAAGCCTGGTGGCTGAGCTTTGTGACTTTGTCCTCACCCACAACCACTTCAGATTTG